CGTGCACGCAAGGACACATGCAAGGCCCGGGCAGGGCAAGGAGTGGTTTGGGAGGGCAGCAACCACAGCCCGGCCCCCGGGGGCCTCCCAGGGCTGCCGGCCAGCAGAGTTTGTGACTCCAAGTGTGTTCCTGCTGGTTCCAGCTGTTTTGGAGCTGTGGCCATCCAAGCCCCCGATGGGCAACCTGCAGGAGAAGCGCTCTGACCCAAAGCACTGGCTGGGTCTGCCTGGACCGGGACGTCGTGCCACCGAGTCACTAGTGTGTTTGAGCGCAGCGGAGGTGGGCAGCTTGAGCCCACTGGCTCGCAGCCGGGCTGGCTCTGATCATCAGGAATAGTGTTATCTACAGGAGCAGAGGTGGTAACTTCTGTTTGAAGCACTTGTCCCAGGTTTGCCAGCTGAAGTGCTACAGAGGGCTTGCTGCTGGAGCCTGGCACATCCAGAACAGTACCCGCCACCAGCCCAGCTGGGTTGAATGGGACCTGCTGTTCTGGTTGAGCAGAGTGGACCTCAGATGTAACGGAGACGAGAGAGACCACAGCATCTTGGCCTTGTGCACCATGTGCCTGGGGCTGTGGTGGGGCTTGAAATGCTGAATTAGTTGCCCAGCAGTGCTGGAAATGAGCCACAGCACTGTTTTCCTCATTGCAGGGCGATGCGCTGCAGTGTGGGAAGTAATTCCCAGCGTCCTCCCTGAGGAGGATCTGCTCCACATAGGAGGTCACCTCGGTGCCTAACCTCTCACCAACCTCCTGAGCTGGCGGCTCCTGCTCTGCACCCAAGCTGAGCAGAGCCTCCTCCCACCACTGCAGCTCTGCACTGTCCACGTTGAGGCTCTGGAGGGTCTGGCGGATGTTTCCATCCACCTCGCTCTTCTCAAAGAGGGTTTCGATAACGACCAGGAGGGGGTCGCTGTCCTCCTTGGCATCACCAACTTCCTCATTCTGGCTTGGTCCATCGGGCTCAGCAATGAGATCTGAGAAGGAGAACTGAGGCATGTTATCAGCACGGGAGATGTATATGGATGCATCCTGCTTCATCATGGCTCCAAGAAGAGAGTTGGGGTCTACCGAGCGCTGCTTCGAGTGGGAGTTTGCTTGCGTCTGCAGCTCCTCCTTAGCCTGGAAAGAGTCCAGGAACTCAGGAAGGTCGTTCCCGTACAGGACTGCTTCCCCCGTGGCAAAGGTAAAAGGCAGCTGCAGGTTTCTCTTCCGCAGATGTTCCTCCCCTTCTTCATTCCTTCAGGGCAGAGGCAAAAAGAGATGGAAATAGCATGAGCACCTCCTCTGGGCCAGGCAAAACCACCCTCCCAACAGCAAGACGGGAGCTCACAGCCCTGCCCTGGCTTTTCTAAAGAAAAAGGTGCTGGACCGGGCTGGCTGTGCTGCCGGTGGTGGAGGACCGGGGCTCTGGGGAGCCCGTGGGGAGGTCTGCATGGCTCGGCAAAGGGCTGCGTGTCCAGGGTTCCCCCCAGGCAGGAGCGAGCACGGGGGTTGCTCGTTTTGCTCATGCCTCCCTGCTACATGGGGGCACGGCTGCAAAGCGCCGGCCGTGCAACCCAGCCCCCCTTTCCTCCGCACGCCCCCGGCAGCCCCACGGTCACCCGCGCCGAGAGCGGGCGGACGCAGCTGGAGACGCAGCGATACTCACGACAGGGCCCGC